CTGGCGAGGGCTGGTGCCGGGCCTCGACCTGCGTGGCTTCCCGGCGTGTCCCTGTGCGGCAGGACAGTCTGACGGGACGAACAGACGCTGAGGGACGTGTAGGCCAGCTGTTTACCTTCTCTTCCCCCTTTCTTGCCGAGGAGACATAAATCCGTGTCTTTAAAAATATTTCTTTATTTCCTGAATTAGCGGCTGTTCCAGGGAAATGGCTCTGGGTGCCACTCTGTAGGGACAGCAAGGACTGAGAGTGCTCGCTCAGAACAGACGCCGGGATGTGGGTCGCGTGAGCCTCCTCGTGACCAGGGGACGTGGCTCGGTCGGCGTGGACGTCGGCGTGGACGTCGGCGTGGACATCGGCGTGCGCCCAGCACCGCGGTGGCCTCTCGTGCCGCTGTCTGCAGTCAGGCCAGGTGGGCCTGGGGGCGGCACGTTCCCCGAGCAGGAGGGTGTTGGGCGCTTCCCGAAGGCGGACCTGGCGCCGAGGGGGCGGGCGTGGGCGCTTTGCCTGGCGCAGCCTCCACAAGCCCGCACCTTGACTACTGGCTCGGAGACGGGACCATCTCCCCATGAGGAACATGAAGTCCGCGCACGGGACCAAGCGATCGTGCGCGGAGAGGTCTCTGTGACTCGGCTCGCTGGCTTCGGAGCCCCTGCTGTCCCCTGCCTCTGGGCGCGCCCAGCTTGGCGCTCTGCCCCTCCTCCCTCCTGAAGAAGTCGTCATCGGCCTTCACTTCCCTGTTTGCCTGTCGTCTCCTCTTCCAAGCCCGCCGGCACCACACGCTGCCCGCACCGCTTCCCCTCGCGGGGGCTGCTTCTCCGCCCCTGAGTCCGTTTCGCCTCTCCGACAAGCGGGGGTCCCGAGGTCCCGACTGGCTGGCCTCTGGGGAGCTGGGTCTGGAGCATCACTTGATGGAGAAACGGAAGGGAAGGAGCTGGCCGAAATCCCGGGCTGGCCCGAGCCGTTACCGGAACGGGAAGGTCGGCGCTCATCAGCGGCACAGGCTTTGGAGAGCAAGGGCACGTGGAGGGTCAGATTGAAGGGTGGGGGGACCCGGATCATTCACGCCTCTGTTAGGCCAGCGAGGGTTCTAGGGTTTTCCTCCGTGCCTGTCATGGGGCAGGACTGAGGGCACAGCCGTGAACGGGATGCGGGAGGACCTTCCTTGGGGGGGCTCCCGCAGAAGTGGGTGGGGGCCGCAGGCTGGGAAGAGGGGTGCTGTTCTGGCTGGGCTGGTAAAGGAAGCTGTCTCTTAGGAGGCGGCGTTTGAACTCACACCTAAATGCTGGAGATCGGGGGTGCCCTGGGAGGTCTGGCTGCGAGCAGGGCGTTGCGACAAGTTCGAGAGCAGAGGCCGCGAGGGGGACAGAAGTGGCGGCTTTGGCAAGCGAGGACCCAGTGGAGGCGATGAGGTGGGGGAAGGGAGGGGCAGGTCAGGCTCCTTGGGGTCACGGCCAACAGTCTGCATTCACCCTCCCCGTCTTGGGCAGACAGCGTGACTGACAGATGGACGGACGGCGTGGCCCGATGTGTCAGCAGCTCCCTCTGCCGCCCTGGGGGGTGTTGAGTACGGGGTGTCAGCAGGGAGACCAGCTGGGAGAGTGTCACAGGGGACCCGACGTGAGATGACGGCCCCTAAGCTGGCGGCCGTGAAGCCGAGAGAACGGACTGGGGCCGGACGCTCTTCGGAGGCTACTCTGGGGGTGAAGCCACCAGGCGGCCCCTGCTGTCCGCGGCCTCTCAGCCAGACCTCTGGGGGCAGTGACGACCTGCGTGTGCTCAGTGGCGAGCCGGATTTGCGTCCGGTGTCCCAAACCTCCCCGGGCGGTGCTCTTTCGGGATGTTAGCCTGCCTGACGTGGTGAAAGCCATTTTTGTTCACGATTGAGCCACTTGTCCCTTTACTTACACGTTACCGGGATCAAAGCCTTAAAAGTATAATTTGCAGGTTATCAAGAGAGATCAAGGGGAGTTAAATCTAAAGAGTCCGAGCTAACTGATCGCTTTCCTTGATGGGAGAGCTGATTTCCTAAAATTTCCCCCCCAAAGTGATACAAATACGGAGCACTGTCCTCAAGGGTGTGAGCGTGTGGGCCGGCCCGCGTCCCCGGAGCGCGCACGGCGGTGCAGATTGGAGGGCCGGGAGGGGCGGGGGTCGGCCCCTTCACAGATGGCGCTTTGGGAGCCCTCGAGCTGTGTGTTTGTGACTGAGCGGCCGCACTGTCGGCTCCCGCTGCCGCCTCCCTCGTTCGGCCGTGTTCGCCGGGCGCGTTTGCCCCGGGGTGCTTTCCTCGGTTCCCCCACGCAGTGTCCAGTGGAGCCCGGTCCGTCTCGGGATGGCTTGCTCGAGACTGTGCGCGAGGGAAGCTTTGGGGCTGAGTCAGGAGCCCGGGCCTGCGGCTTTCTCAGCCCTCCCGTGGCCGCCGGGCTGGGAGTCACAAGGAGGCCACGACAGCTGCCTGCACGGGTGCTGGGTGCCCTGGGACGCCTCGGGTCCCTGCACGCGCCCTGCTGGGCGGGGCTCGTGGGGCCTCCGCACCCACTCGTCTTCAGTGCCTGGGCTGCCGGGGGAAGGCGTGCATTCGTGCTTGTGAGCAGGTTTAGGGGTGTGTGCGTGTGTGTGAGAGAGAGGGGAGAGAGAGGAGCTCTCTGAAAGTGTGGGCGGGCTTAAAGGGTGGGAGGGCTCCTGTGCTGACGTCACCACCTCCCAGGTGAGGCTGCAGAGCAGGAAAGGAGATTCCTGTGTGCTGAGCTCTGGCTTCTCCTCCAGGCCACACACGCGCACACACACACTGCACCCGCACATGCATGCCCATGCACCACACACCTGCGTGCACACACGTACCACATGCCCACGCACACGTGTACATATGCACACGCACCACACACCAGCGCCTGCACGCACATGTGCCATCACGCAGGCACGTACCCCATATCTGTGCACACACACGCGTGCACACCAGGCCCCCTTAATGACCAGGTTGGGCCTTGTGCAGGTGGGAAGCAATTAGATGCAGTTTGCTCCCCAGGGGCTCCTACACCTTGCTCGCTCTTTTCTTGCTAAACAAGTAACATTTTTTTATTTTTTTCTCCTGTTAGATGTACATGTGAAAAAAAGTGTACCGGTGGTGGCATTTCATAAGCCTTGCAAGGCCGCCGTTTAGTCGCACTTCCGGCGTGACCCCTGGCTCTGCTGCTCTGGGTAAAGTGCTCAGCCCATAGTGCCTCAGCTCTCTCGTGTGTGTTAGTTGTCTGCCCCTGCGTCACAGCATCGCCACAAACCCAGTGCTTAAAACAACACACACTTGTTCATGTCTGTTGTCTTACGGTTCCTGTGGGTCAGGAGTCTGGGCGTGTCTTAGCTCGGGGTCTCTCCGGGGGCCAGTCAGGTGATATCTGGGCTGCAGACGCATCTGCGGCTCGACTGGGAAAGGATCAGCTTCCAGACTCACGTGGCTGCTGGCAGGATTCGGTTGCTTGTAGAGCCGGGGCCTCGGTTCCCTGCCGGTTCTCTGCCACCCTCAGCCAAGAACGGCCCTTTCCATGTGCGGCTCTCAGTGTGGTAGCAGGGAGAGCGTCTCCTGGTGGGAGGGGTTGTGCTCTCAGGTGACAGAATTGTGCAAAGCAGGTCGCGGGGCTGCCCACACTCAAGGGGGTGAGGTCACACCAGGAGGTGGGGGACACAGGGCCATCTTGGGTCTGTCTGCCGCATCCTCAGAAAGTGGGGGAGTAAGCATACCCACCTCCAAGATTAGGGGGGCACTTGGGGCACCCAGGGGCTCAGTCGGTTGAGCATCCGACTTCGGCTCAGGTCACGATCTCATGGTCCGTGAGTTTGAGCCCCACGTTGGGCTCTATCCTTACAGCTCAGAGCCTGGAGCCCGCTTCGGATTCTGTGTCTCCCTCTCTCTCTGCCCCTCCCCCACTCACACTCCGTCTCTGTCTCTCTCAAAACTAAATAAGCATTGGGGCGCCTGGGTGGCGCAGTCGGTTAAGCGTCCGACTTCAGCCAGGTCACGATCTCGTGGTCCGTGAGTTCGAGCCCCGCGTCGGGCTCTGGGCTGATGGCTCAGAGCCTGGAGCCTGTTTCCGATTCTGTGTCTCCCTCTTTCTGCCCCTCCCCCGTTCATGCTCTGTCTCTCTCTGTCCCAAAAATAAATAAACGTTGAAAAAAAAATAAAAAAAAAACAACTAAATAAGCATTAAAAAAACATTAGAAAAAAGGACTAGAGGGGGATTAGAGGAGCTAACTGAAGGTGGTTAGGATGATGAGCATTTAATAAACGTTAGCTGCTATCGCTGTGAGGTTGCTTTCTGAAGCCCACATACGCACCGTGGCATTCGGGGCCGTCACCAGTGGCTCCTTCCTGCCCTCCTTCGCCCTCAGTGGCCCCCAGAATGCACTCGTGTGTTTCTGCTCTGTCCGTCTGTGCAGACCGTACCCTTGTGGAGTCCTTCCATCCACGAGTTTGTGGGGCTGACGCGGGTCATTTGCTCCCAGCCCGCCTCAGGCCTGGCCGTCGTGTGACAGCCACAGAGGCTTTTGCTCCTGGCCTGAGGCCTCTGACCTGGCGGGCACTGCAGACACGGCCCCTTGCACCGTGTGGGTGCCCGTTGTGGGTTCCCCGGCTCCTCTGGAAACTTCTTCTAGGGCAGGCTGACCTGTCTCTGGGTGCCCTGCCTAGGGGACAAGGGCCATGTTGGCAATGACTGAAAGGTGGCCTGAGCCCCATCCTTGGGTGCCCCTGGGGCTATCTGCGCAACACCCTCTGCAGGGGTGAGGGCCAGAGCAAGTACAGTCACCTCTCTCGGCCCCCTTGCCTCACCTGTGGCTCTCAGGTTGAGGCTGACCAGTGAGCTGGTGGTGGGAATGCACCTTCCCCACCAGGCCTTGCGGTCCTTGGCCGTGTTGTGACTGAGCACACATGCAAGCGAGTTTCCCACCCTGCTGGTCATCTTTGCTAGAACTTTCCAGCACGGGGTAGAAATCTGCCAGTGAGCTGTACGCATACTTCTGGGTTTTCTTAGCGAGGAGAGGCCTAGCTGGCCTTCACGGCAGCCCAGCTGGCCACACGCTCTGTGTGCTAAACTGTCATAAGTGTGTCCCGCTTGGCTGTTCCCGCTTGGCTGTTCTCGCTTGTCCCCGTGTGGCCTGAGCTGCTGGCTCTGGGCCCTGAAGCAGGCTTCCCGCCCAGTGATTCTGGGGGAGCCGAGTCTCCTCACGCTGGTGTGGTCTCTGTGCCTTGGCTTCCGTAGCCTGTCCCCACCCTGTCCACGGTGAGGAAAGGCCACGCACAGTTGTGACGCCGTCTCAGGCTTCCCTGGTGCCCGGGCGGGGCTGTGACTGCTGAGAGGTGCTAGGGTCTGCGAGAGGGGTCCAGGTTCCCGCGCGGACCCTGCTCCGTGTCCATCCTCTGTGCCACCGTGTGGACTCGTCCAGCGTTGCTTCCAGCCTCAGCGGGTGATGTGCTGTCGCGGGAGCACGCGTCAGCCCTCTGGTGTCCGCGCAGGAGAAATGCCAGATGGTGCCGTGGGCCAAGCGACTTTTGTCTTTTGCTCTTGTTTGAATATTCTTTCCAGGTCTCCCTGGAAGGCTGTTGGTGTAAGATGAAAACCGTGTGTGAATGCGTGTGCATGAAGGTGTTACTCATTCGGCAGACATTTATCTGCTGCCCGGTGGGACAGGCTCTGTGCCAAGGTGCCCCTCCACTTACGTGGAGTGGGCCCCGTGGGGGGCGTCCCAGGGTGGGCCCCGTGGGGGCCAGGATTCCGGGGCCAGCTGTGCTGCATGCTGGTCGTGGGCCCTGCGTGAGGAGACTTCCCCGTCCCGGTCCCGGGCCCCCCGCTGCAGAACTGGCTTGGTAACTTACCCACCTGGGAACGTAGACCACCAGCTCAGTGATGTCCAGGCGGGACAGGGGTTTGCCTCCTTGGGCGCAAGGCTCGTTCTTGTTCTGCAGGCTCGACTTGTTTGGAAACGATGCGGCTCATGCTTGTCATGCCTGCGCCCCACGCCTTCGTAGCATGAGGCCTGTTCAGCAGTTCTCTCCTGTAAGGAGAGAGAGGGGGCTCAGCTCCTCCTGTGTCCTTGGCCTGGGTCCTCGAACGGCTCGTGGGAGTGTGTGTGAGGGGGAGCTGCTGGAGTAGGGCATCGCTGATGGTGATCGCTTTCCAGGGGTTAAAAAAACATCCATTAAAACAAAAATCCCCGAAACCAAGCACGTGGATACAGAGAACGGATCCGTGGTTGTCAGAGGTGGGGGTGGGGGCGGGTGAGATGGGTGAGGGGGGGTCAAAATAAAAGAAGTCACGGGACGTGATGTGCAGTATGGGGTCTACAGTTCCAGTGCGCTGCATACGTCAGAGATGCTAAGAGATCTTAGGAGTCTTATTACAAGAAAAGAAAACTTCTAACTATGTACGGTAACAGGTTGTTAACCAGACTTGATGTGGTGAGTGTTTTGTAACATTTACAAATATGGGGTCACTGTTCAAATATCATAGACCTGGAACTAGGATAACGTTATACGTTAGGTCTACCTGATTTAAAACGATGTGTTTGCCTTACGAGGGAAATTCAGAGCATTCACCCACACAACTCCCTCTCCCCTCCCACCTCCCTGCCACACTCCCTTCCTTCTCTCCGTCACCCATCCATCCAATGTGCACCTGCTTCTCATCCCCCCCTGCCCCCCCCATCCCTACACCGCCAAGGGAGTGCTCCCTGAGACAGTCCCGGACAGCCACGTGTCCCCTGTGCCCACGGGCGTGGAGGGCCAGCTGTCCCCTGTGAGAGTCAGCTCGTGCGGGAGGGCAGCGCCTGGGGGTCGCCGACAGACGGCAGTTGCTCGTGAGTCGGTAAGATATTCAGATAAATTGGAATTTTATGAAAAAGTCAAGAAGAATTAGTATTTTTTAACATTTGTATTTTTAATATCAGGGAAATATTGGCCGTGTAGCTTTTGAGTGAATGTGCATACATTTTAAAGTGTCTGACGTGTTTACTTTTGGCTTTACCACCTGTTCAATTTTCTTGCAGATTTTTGAAAGGATATTGTTTATTTGGGCAATCCGTCACCCTGCCAGTGGATATGTCCAGGGGATCAATGACCTCGTCACCCCTTTCTTTGTCGTCTTCATGTGCGAACACATAGGTAAGACCACATCATGATGCTTTCTCTCACAGGCATTGACCACGAACTTTGGTGGCCTTACCGTGTCACTGTGTGTAATTACACCCATATTGAGAATTGCTGTTAACGTTATAATGACAACTAATAATGGAGACTGATAGTTCTCTCATTTCTGCCAGCTTTGAAAAAAGTCTCTAAATCCACTTGCTTAACTACTGGAGACGTTAAGATGCAGCTTTTATTATTGCCATCATCTTTTTTAATAATACGTGAGGAGAAGCGTGATCTCTTTGAGCAGCGTCGTTTTGTTCTGATGGCCAGAGCACCGCCTTTCAGGGTGTGGATTTGAGTGGATCGGGTCAAGGGGATAGGATGGTAGTCGAATGTCCGGCTTACAAGCTAAAACCTGGATGGACCCTCTTCCGTCATATTCTGTGGCACACTGTCTCCTTCCTACCTTTGATCCACCAGTGACGGCTCATTTTATGGGAAGTTTAACGACATGCAGATCAGCCGGTTTAATGGAGACTTAGGTTGGGTGATGGGGTTTCTCTTCGAGGTGTGCGTATTTTTCTCCCATTTATGTTACAGCGGCCAACCGTAACGTAACCTGCTTTGAACATATGTTACGTTAAAAACAAAATCGTTATTAGAACCTAAGTGCGGGATCTATGTTTTAGTTTCTCTGTGGGTAAGGAATAGACAAACACCGAAGGAGGGATTTCCTGTTTGGTTATAGCATTTTTACTTAAAACCGATTTTAATTTGTCTCTGCACGAACCCTCGTGACTTGACGTGTGTCTGTCTTTATGAGATTGTGTGTTTAGCCACTTCAGTCTCCAGTGTGCTTCAGATGCTGGTCGTTGCTGTGCTCTGAGAGATGAGGTCTGGCCGGGAAGGATTATCCTCTCAGGACGAGAACGTGCCCATTCAGTGCATTTTATTGCAACCTCTCACACTTTGTTTGAGTTGCTGATTGCATAGGAGGACTTTCCATTGCTAAGCGACTAATGAGAACAGCCTCTGCTCCCTCCCTAATCATCTCTTAAGTAGGGGAGCGGCCGGCTGCGGAGAGCAGAGAGCACTCGCCTTCCTGCCTCTTAGTCCCTCATTTGACAGATAATGAAAATGTTCCTAATGATCCTAGAGCAGTAGGACCTGTCGGTAGACTTCGGAGTTGTTAATTGAAAGAAGAAGTTCAGCTGAGATGTGATTAGAGAATTGATATTCTGTGCTAAATAGACCGTTTAATTAATGTGGTAAGTAAGTTTGTCTTAACTACTTTACCACCAACTTGTGTCGTAAGACCCGAGCGATCCTGTCCGCATTTGCCTGAATTATCAGCGAGATAGGGTGAAGGGACATGGGATAATCGTCTGGAAGAGAGAGGAACTGGGGAAAATGGAATTTGTGTCCTCAGTTAAGCTCAGAGAGACTGTGCCTGCCTTCCTGTACCTGCCCTCCCCCCACCAGCATACACACACACACACACACGCACACACACGTGCTGAGTGGATGTACAGGGTGGTTTTGGAACACTTGTGTGAAACACACCATTCATTTCTGGCAGTTGACCATGTCGTTAAGTGCACATACTGGACTTTTTGGTCCTGGCTTTCAGATACGATTGGTGGACTTGAGTCCTTTTAGGTCTTGCTGCCCAGGCTTGAGAGTGTTCATCGTGCTGGTCCAAGCACACGTCTTGTTACCGTGTACAGCCTCATGTCTGTGTGAGTGGCCTGGAGCTCTGCCCAGCAGCCTCCTGGGCAGAAGTGCGGTCATTCACAGAGACCTTCCTGGAGCATGTGCCGCAGTGCTCATCTTGTGCAGAGCACCGGGGTGTGGAGACCATGTCCGTCCACGTCACCAGTGTCACACGGGCACCTTCTGGCCCTCTGCAGGGTGGTAGGGATGCGGTTCCCTGCCCCCTTGGAGCCCGTGGTTCCAGCTGGAAGACAGGTTTGAAATGCGTCGCGAAGACATTGAATGAAAATGATCAGATCTTTGTGTTGTCCCGAGGTGTCAGGGGGTGCAGGCTAGGGGTCGGAGGAGCCCTCCCAGATGGTGACATTCCCAGTGTGCCTTGTGGGATGGGCAGGGGTGTCCTGTGGAGAGAGTGGCGGGGGTGCGGTAGAGCGGCTGGAGGAAGTGCTGTGATCTGGGGATGGTGGTGACTGAGGACAGACAGAGCCACTGGGGGGACACTGGAAAGTCTGGGTGAGTCCCAGTGTACAGGAGCACAGGCGAGCCCCCGGTGGCATGCAGCTAAAGGGTGCCGTGCTCAGGTCCTGTCTGGCCTCGTCCACTCTGGCCATGGGGAGGTGCTCTGGGGTGCTCGCAGGCGGGTTGGGGGGCGTACACCGTCAGCCAGCGGGTTGTGTGCTGTCTTGTGGGGGGTTTTAAGCAGGTAAACCTTAGATGCTGGGCTTGCTGAATGTCTTGAAGCTAAGATTTTTCCTTCAGAGGGTGGAACTTGGTGACAGGATCCTGTGGCTTGGATTCCTGAGCGTCCCAGCAGGACTTTGGGGTCAGCATCCTGTTCTAACACGACTGTCAGACTCTTGAAGTGCCGGTGGCATGGGGAGTAGCCCGCATGTGACCGCCTCCCCAAAGCTGCACTTTACTCATTTCTCGGGGTGGGCCTGTGTTGCTCTGGATTTCCTCTCTTCTGAGTGGAACTCTGGGAAACGGTCCCTGTTAACCGAGGGGATGAGAAGCCCTCTGGCGTGAGATCCATCCAGGGGCCTCAGGCTGTGCCGGGCAGCACTGCCAGGCCTGATAGGAGCTGGACTTTTACCCTGGAGTGTTTGTTGTGGGTCCCCAGCTCCGGGCCTGCTGTGCACCTGCTGGTTCACGAGGGAGGAGGGGAATCTGACACAGAGCTCCAGTGACCGCGACGTCCCAGGCGGGGAGCAGGCATGGGGAGCAGCAAGCATCCTGACTTTGCAGGTCCTGAAAGAGAGGGATGGGAAGTGAACGGCAGCTCACACATCTGGGGCTGACAGACGGGCTCTGATTTGGACCTGGGCTCATCAAGTAGATCGAGTGCTTCCTGGATGTTCTTGGCAGAGGGTTGGTTCGTCTTCATCAAGAGGCCGGCCAGGATGATGAGGGACAGGAACAACTTGCAGAGAGGAAAGAAATGCTCAGGGAACACGGGAAAACCAGAAGCAAGTGGGGAAGCAGGCGCAGCCTGCATATGGGACGGCGTGGAGGTGGTCCAGTGGCCCTGACTGGTCTCACGGGGCCGTCAGTGCCACCCTGGGATGGATCAGAGACACATGCCACCAGCTGAGGTCTCCTTGCGGAGCACCTCACGCCCCTGGGGAAAGGCAGTTTGGTCCCACTTTCAGACGATACACATCCCCAAATGCAGGTTCAGCACACGTACATGTGCACGCTCACACAGGCACACACAGACACGCGTGCCCGTGCACACACACGGTGCCCGCTGGCCACAACCTCTCCAAGTAAACGTGGAACAGATCCTTGACTACCTTCGAATGGGCCCATCGTCTTGGGCGGGCTCTGGAGGTGCCATCAGCCTCGGGAAGGAAGGTTGGGGGAGGAGGTCAGGAGGCTTCTCATGATCTCAGAGGTAGGGGTAGCAGGGTGCAGAGCTCCTCCAGACGTGGAGCGTGGTAAATATAGCCGCTTAGGCGGCACCAAAGCCTAGGGGCTCCCCGTGAGTGGGGTGTTGCAACCGGAGTGTATAATGTGCTCAGAACAGTCATGAAGAGGGCTCTGTGCCAGGAAGGTTTGGGAATTTATGAATTTAAGGCGTTGAAGCCTCAGGGGTAAGAAGCCGTAGGCGCTTGAGTGCTGGGTTTGCTGCACGTGCGTGAGCCGTTGTAGGTCTGAGCCACGGCTGGGAGCCGGGTCTTGCAGACTGCCTCCGTGACCCAGAGGCCTGGCGGAGTGCACGGGGCTGTCCAGCCCGCACCCCTGCTAGGGGTTTCGCCTCCCTCCTGAAACAGCATGGGACACGTTCTTGTTGTACCTTTTGGAAGGTCACTACATCTTTGGCCTTAGTTCAGGTCCCCGAGGAAGGCAGGTGTAGGGTGAGGCTGAGAGAAGACGGGACAGGGCGCACAGGGAGGCATCACAGGCTGACGGGAGCGGGCCCAGAGACAGGCCAAGGCAGGGCCGGCCCCATGAGGCGGTGAGGAGGGTGACGCAGAGGGCGTGGGGGTGACTGGAGCGGGGGAGGAGAAGTCTGGCCTGTTCCCGGGGTCCCGGGCATCAAGGGAGGTGTGCTGTCATTGTCCCGGGCAGGCTGTAGCCTAGAAGCAGGTGGTTGAGAGGCAAGACGACACCTGTGGGCTAGGACACGTCTGTCTGGAGCGTGGGAAAGAGGGTTGCGTTGGTGGTGGTACTGGGAGTTGTTGCCCTGGCGTGGCTGCTGAGCATCGCGGGTCTGGAGGTGCTTCTCCAGGGGGCAGAGTCCCACGTGGGACCTGAACATGGCGGCCGTCCTCCTGTCCCGCGGGGAGGTTTGCGGCTCTTTCCCACGAGGGAGCCTGGCTGCCTGGGTTCAGAGCTGGGTTCTGCCCCTCACCCGCCGCACGGGGCCTTTGTGTAGACGTGGGAACTGGGGACGGAATGGCACCGATGGCCGTGGTTGCCGTGTGGCCCGAGGGAGTTCCCATGTGAAGAGCTCAGAGCCCCGGGTGCGAGTGCTGCGTGTCCAGGAAGTGTGCTGCTGCGGCTGTAGTTGTCGTGTCCCTTCGCTGTCTCGGCCCGTGGCTTTCCTCCTTGGGTCCACGTTCCGGGGACAGAAAGGGGGAACTGGTGAAGGACACAGGCTAGAGGCCAAAGGGCCCTGCCAGTGGAGCCTGTCCGTTCCCAGGGCCTTCCTGAAACGGCTCTGCTGGCTGCAGGGGTGCTGCTGAGCGAGACTCTCGCCGTCCTCCTCTGGAGGGCAGGGGATGGGAGGGGCAGCGGGGCAGGCGGGGATGTGTGTGCCAAGAGGGACAAGGGGCGGTGGTGGAATCAGGGAAGAAGTGGTTTTAGAGGCAGGAAGAAGGCCTGGGGCGACGTGTCCCCCAAATCAAGGGAGGGGACAGTTTCAGGGAGGCAGTGGTCCATGGATTCCGGTGCCACAGAGGTGCAGACTGGGGACTGACCGAAGGGCTGGCCGGTGAGCGTGGTCTGCCCAGACTGGGCCGCAGAGCGGTGGCCGGTCGGTCTGGACACAGGTTGACTGCCCTGCGCATGGGAGTGGCCGAGCGGGAGCTCCTCACCAGGAGCGTTGGACAGCGTCCTCCACGGGCCTGTCACGTCCTTGGGTAACTGGCGGCTGGTCTTATTGATCTGGAGTTGAGCTGCGACGCTGTGTCGGGTTCCAGTGTGCGGCATGGCGATTTGGTATCTGTGTGGGCCGCGGGATGATCACCGCCGAGGGTCTGTTTGCCTCCGTCACCACAGACAGTTCCAGAATCGCTTTTGCTGGCGATGAGATCTTTTCCGTCTCTTGGCATAGCACCTTTCAGATAACGCATCATAGTGTTAACTGGGGTCCCTGGGACTTTATTTCGTAGCTGGACGTTTGTACCTTTGACCCCCTTTGCCTGTCTTGCCCCCGCCCCTGCCCCAACCTTCTTTCAGAGAACTTTTCATCGTGGAAAGTGTTCACATCTGAAGCTCACAGAACACTAGCTCGAGGAAGCTCCACATACCGTCTTCTGGCTTCGAGGATCTTCCGCGGTCCACTTTCCTTGTGTCATCTCCTTCCACCCGCTCCTGACCCCCACCCAGTTACTGCTGTTACTCCTGTTCCCTGACCCCCACCCAGTCACTGTTACTACTTAAAAAATAGCTTTATTGAAATATGGTTTCAATACCACAAAACTCACCCACCTTGAGTGAAAAGTTCAGTGGTATTTAGAATATTCGCACAGTGCAACTATCACCACAATTTAAGAATATTTGCACCATCCTATACTGACGGGGGTCGCTCCCCGTCTGCCCCCTCCGCCAGCCCTGCACGAACGCTGATCTGCTTTCTGCCTACACAGATTGCCTCTTTTGGACGCTTCGTGTAAATGGAATCGCACAATGTGGGACGTTCAAGGTCCACATGTGTACCATGAGTGAGCCCTTCCGGCCTTTTTATAGTCAGATGACCTCTCCTTATACTATAGGACACATTTTGTTTATCCCTATTTCCACGGACAGACGTTTGCGTTCTTTATTCTTTTTGCTTATTATGAATAACGCTGCAGTGAACCTGTGTGTGCAAGTTTTAGACTGAACGTGTTTTCGTTTCTCTTGGCTACAGACCTTGAGGTCTTAGGGGCTGCGCCATCTGACACCCCCGCCCCCCTCCCCCCCGCCAGTGTGGGAGGGTTCCCGTGGGCCCATGTCCTTGCTGACACCGGTACTGCGTTTTATTTATCAAATGCGGTGGACGTTACGTTATGTCCCCTACTACGGCTGACTACTGGGAGTCCCTGCCGTGTTCTGTCTCCTCTCCTCGGAGCCCTGTCGATTTGGCTCCTTGAAGCAGGGACTGTGTCTTTTGGGCACCGTGCTTGGCACAGAGTGCAAGTTCAGCACGCCCCGTATTGAGCCGGGTCCCTGCGGAGTTCTGTGCATTGGTTGGGCAGTTAGAAAACCCGCTCTTCTCGACAAGGGCAACCTGTGCCTCTCTCTCTTTGCAGCTGGGCAGGGAGGGCTGGGGAAGAGGGCCGGGGAGGGCTCCATCCCTGCACTCACCCCTCCCACCGGAGGGGGCGCTGCTTGGCTTGGGGAGAGTCTTGCACCGGCCCGGGCCCCACTTCTGTGGAGTCACCGTGGAGGCACCGTGTCCGCTGTTCAGGGACTTCCGTGGTGAGCCCTCCTGCACGCCGCCTCCTGTCCTCGGCCGGGTCTTGGGGCCGCCCGCGCCTCTTCCCTGGGCTGCTGGTTGGGAAGCAGATCCGGCTCCAGTGTCTTTCCCTCTGGGTGTGGGTCCACATGTGGGTCCTGCTGGATCTGCACTGGGGGGCGGGGGTAGGGCTCCCCTGGCCATGAGCCTGAGCTGTGTTTTTCCACCTGACCTCTGGGTTGCGCCCCTGATGGTGGCTTGTTACTGATTTCTGTGGTTCCTGTGCCTGTGTGTGTCCCTAGCAGGCGAGCACGGGATGGGACCGGCCTGCATCGGCCCTCCGGGGTACCGGCTGGTTGGGCGTCGTTCCTCTTTTTTCTGTGCCTTGTAATTGCTTAGTCAAGGGTATATTGTATGTAAAATTCTGTTTTGTGCTTTTTCCCCATTTAACCTTACAATGAGCTTTCCCTTATAGTATTAAGAAATCTTTGTAAAGATCATTTCTACCTCTCGCACATAATATTCTGTTGAGATAATACAACATAATTCATGAAACCCTTCTATTGTTGTTGGACTTTTTTTTTTTTAGGCTGTTTCCCTCCAGGCATGGTGTAATTTTAAAGTACAGCCTGTATTTTTTCAAGCCGCAACCGTCATATTCCTTTTAACAGAAAACGTCAAATTTGGTTTAAAATTAAGAACCATTGCCTCACCTTGCCTTGTGCAGTTTAAGCACATTTAGTTGAAGTGTTTGCAGCAGAGCAAAACCCAAGCAGCACCCCCCCCCCCCCCACCCACCCGCCCGACATCTATGCTGTTATGTTTGGAAACGGTCCTGGCACATCGGATGGACGCTCAGGCTGGTTGCTTACGGATTGGGTCCCGCGGGAACAACGGGCGGGCGGCGTCTTGGACGGTGAGGCGTGTTTGTCCCTTGGTTCTTAGTATCAGCACTTGTAAGCTTTGATCGGCTCTATTTTGTATGTCGTTTTCTCTTAAAAGAAATTAAAGCAAATGTGAGAAGGAACTGGAGTAAACAGTGTATTTACTTAAGAATATTGAGGACGTGTATTTTTATATTCCCATATGTAAGTCAGAATCTCAGAAGTACAGGTGGTTTTCCAGCCTGTTAGTTTTTCCCGGAGAAGACGTTCAGCACGCGCTTCGAGGGGACCAGGGTGCGTGGGGCCGGGCCTCGTGGACAGCGGCCGGGAAGCGAGGCCCCACAGCTGCTCGGGACACGTGGGGTTTGCGACTCACTGAGCGGTAGCGGTGTGGCCCTTCTCTTGCCTGTTTCCACTCTCAGGGTGTAAACTGGGCTGTGGTGACGGTGGGGGAGAAAGTTGCCGCTACTGAATTAGTTTTGGAAATCCTTGCCCTGACTTTCCTTGTTTGCATTTGAGTCTCGTCTCCTCGCACTTGGGTTTCTCCACACGTTCCGTGAACCGGAGCGGCTCTGCGAGGTGCGTCTCCTGCCTGGCTTCCTTAAGTGTTCGTTGTGGCTCGGGTACCTTGTGTCCTCGGTTGTTCCCAGAAACCATCTGAAGATGGGGTTTCCTGTGGCAGTTCTGGTTCCGTGTGGGGAACGTGGGGGCAGGGGGCCCAGGAACCAGGCTGTTAGTCCCAGAAAGGGGAGGGTGTGCGTTTTGCGGCCCCTGCGGTGACGATCAGGTGCCATGTCCTTGCAGAGCCTGTGACTCATGTGGAGTCATATTTTCTATTTAGAAACATGTTGATAAATTAATGGATTTCTTGTCAAAATTTAGAAAACTCAGTAACGGTGTGGGTCCACGTCCCAGAAGCTGTCACTGGGACATTTGCTAATTTCTTTATGGTCTTTTTGTCAGTGTCCTTTTTTTACACGGTAGGAATTATGTTATGCGTGCACATTTTAATAATTGCTTTTTGCTTAATATCTAAGCATTTTCCAAAGTCACTCAACTTTGTTTGAAGTGTCCTTTTCGGGGCGCCTGGGTGGCGCAGTCGGTTAAGCGTCCGACTTCAGCCAGGTCACGATCTCGCGGTCCGTGAGTTCGAGCCCCGCGTCGGGCTCTGGGCTGATGGCTCGGAGCCTGGAGCCTGTTTCCGATTCTGTGTCTCCCTCTCTCTCTGCCCCTCCCCCGTTCATGCTCTGTCTCTCTCTGTCCCAAAAATAAATAAACGTTGAAAAAAAAAAAATTTGAAGTGTCCTTTTCACAAGTAGGAACACAGGACTTTCAGCAATGGGTGGGGAACGGGACAGAAGGTCAGCAAGCAGCTAGAAGGAACACTAGCAAACCGAACTCCCGCTGGACCTAACAGTGGTAGGACACACACCCTTCTCAGGCGCACATGGAACAGACCACGTGCCGGGCCATAGAGCGAGCATCGGGACGTTGGAGAGGATGGGGGTCCTACTGAGAGCACTCTCTGACCTTAGGGACACTCGGGTGTCAGTAACAGCGGGCAGTGTGAAGAGACTGACGTGGGAGTAAGCAGTGTGTCAGAAAAGAGATCATAAGGAAACTTTGAAGCACGTCTGAGATGAATGAAAATGAAAACACAGACGTACGGGACGTGGCGACAGTTGCGCTTCAAGAGAACCTGTGGCTCTAAGTGACTGTATTAGAAAGAACATCTCAAAGCACGACCTTAACTCTTTAATTTTAGGAAGCATGAAGAGAAGCGCAAACACACTGAAACGAATGGAAGGAAACAAAGACTAGAGCAGAAATAAGTGAAGACTAGAAAAACACTGGAGAAAATCAACCCCAAACCAAAGTTTTGGGAATATCCAGAAATAGCCACAAAGTGGGCATACTGTTGGCTAGACTGGCCGAGAAGAACAGAAGGACGTGTACCACTAAGGTCATGAGTGGTCTTTTTAAAAATTTAAATTAATTTAATTTTTAGTTTTTTATTTGATTTTTTATTTTTTAAAACTTACATCCAAATGACTTAGCATC